ACCACTTATAATAAAAAATGATTATAAGCTATATCCACACCTATTTGAAAAACAGATTTTGAGAGAAAAATTCTTACAATTCAATTACTATCACAATGCTATTTGATAAAAAGATTGATGAAATTGAAAGCAAGTAAAAGCGGAAAAGTAAAAACGCACAAGGAATTTGTCTACACAGTTCCCCACAGTCGTTCTCGCGTGTGGGTATGTCTGCGCCTAATTCCAATAGAACTAGGATAATTTTTATATGCAAAATGTTTAATACAATGGAAGAGTTAGAAACAACAATACAAAATTCTCCAATTTGGTGTTGATGCTCCTTCTTTCAACCTTTGATCTTAAGCAAGATCAAATCAACCGATAGATGCAACCTATTCATTGCTTAAGCTACTTCCTTAAAAGGATTTCAAACACCCCAAGGTTCCTTGCAAAGATTTCAAACACTCCAAGAGATTTTTCACTCGAGTAAATCCGATTGCAAACTATCAACATAAGATCACCGATTCTATCATCCAATTTTTGCTACTTCCTTAAAAAGATTTCAACCACTCTAAGGTTCCTTGAAAAGATTTCAAACACTCCAATGGGTTTTTCACATGGACGATCTTTTGCACGATCTTGCATGAAAACCCCCAATTCAACAAATGATATTGGAGGGCAAACCTGATGGTTTTTTCGGATGAAGACCCCTACAAGAACTCAACCCGAACCAATTGGAAATCTTTAATTCTTCATCTAGATGCCCCCCCGACAGAACATCATCACAATGTAATATTGGTGTGTATGCATAGATTGGAAGGTTGAAGAAGAAGAGGAAATGTAGGTTAATTTTATGGTATCATCAAGTTGTGAATGATGCGTGAATGAGTATTTATAGTTGTGGAACAATAAGGGCAATAAGGGTAAATTTTGAATCAAAAAGGAATTAAAATATGACCGAATTAAATAGGATGTGTCGACCCCAAACTCGTATGTGTCGACACATAATTTATGTTTAGGTCGTATGTGTCGACCTCTGATAATGTCATGTGACGACCTGAACAACTCAGAGGCTACAGGCTTAAATACGCTAGTAGATGTGCCGACACATAAAATGAAAATTTTTGCAATTTCATAATTCTTTCAGTATGTCTCGACATGTATGGATGCATGTGTCGACCTGAGACTTACAAAAGCTACATGCTTTAAAAATGAGTTACATCTGTCGACCTGAAATTTGAATGTGTCGGCACATACAACGAAAAACTATGCAAAAATGCTTTTTCAATAATTTGGATCAATTTTTATATGCTTTTTGATGATTCCTAAGACCTATAATGCAGAGGAGTGTCATAAGACATATGGATACCATCTACTTCATATAAGTTCCATCTTGTCCCGGTTTTAACATCATACAAAACAATTTTTAAGCGAAGTTGTACTCACAAATGTTGATGAATTGATAGTAAAAAATAAAGCAAGATTAGTAGCTGGAGGTTTTCTTCAAAGAGAGAGACTCGACTAATCTGAAGTAATTTCTCTAGTAGTAAGATTGGAGACTGTTCAACTAGTGGTAGCCTTGACATGCAACCAAGGTTGGTCGACATTTGATTTAGATATGGAATCAGCATTTCTGAATGGTCCTTTAGACGAAGAGGTCTATGTCACACAACCTCTGAAGTTTGTGATTCAGAAGGAAGCGAGTAAAGTATATAAGTTGCACAAAGTGCTTTATGGCCTCAAGCAGGCACCTAGGGCATGGAACAAGAAGATCGATTAATACTTAGTCAAATTGGGATTTGTAAAATGCGAGTTTAAGTATGGTGTTTATGTTCAGGTTATGGAACAAGATATAACAATCATCTGTTTATATGTCGATGACTTGTTGGTAACTAGAAATAACTTGAACATGTCGAAGTTTAAAGAGCTGAGGATGAGAGAATTTGAAATGTCGGATATGGGGAAATTGTCTTATTTCCTAGGCACGAAGTTTCAAATGTCGAAGTAAGGTATGGTGCTACATCAAAGAAAGTATACCAAAGAGATACTCAAGATATTCAAGATGGATGATTGGACTCCAGCATCTTCACCTATCGAAACAAATTTGAAGTTGGAGAATCATGGAGAGGAATACAAAGTCGATGTAACTTTGTTTCAACAAATAGTTAGATCTATGATATATGTGTGCAATAGTCTATCTAATATAGGTTTTGCAGTCAAATTAGTGAGCACATACATGAGTGAACCAAGAGTGTCGCAGATGAAGGCTGCAAGAAGAATTATGAGATATTTAAAAGGATCGATAAGCTTTGGAATTCTATTTCAACAATACTCTAAAAGAAAATAAGCAACAATTACTTGTTCTTCAGATGTGGATTGGTGTGGAGATAAGGAAGATCAAAGAAGCACAACTGGATATTTCTTTCAAGTCTTTGGTGCCTCAATTTCATTATGCTCGAAAAAGCAACCTGTGGTGGCATTATCATCGTGTGAAGTCGAGTATATAGCAGGATCTAATGCTCTATGTCAAGTGATTTGGATTAAATCAATACTTGAAGAAATGGAGATTGAAGTGAAGACCAAGTGCAATTAGGGTTTATTAGCCTACTTAGTGTATAACTTAGGTGTATATAAATAGTCAAAGTCTGTATCATTATTTGTAACTATTCAATTCAATAATATCATCTTTATTTCCTTTTTCACTCTTCTCCCTTCACTAAAAGTACCTCACACACTAACAATTAGATTTTGTTAAGCCTTGAGAGTTGAGATAGTATTTCATCTATGATTGTGTTATTTGTGTTGTCTTGGTTATAAATTGTATGCTTGTATACGCTAGATTGATATATGTGTAAGTATTTGATTTTTGTCTATTAGTTATGTTGGACATAAATTAAATATAAATTAACATTGAAAAACAATAATATAATTAAGGTTTAAAATACAATTGTGGTGACATTGCAATCACGTAAATACTTTTGCGATTTTGCGATTTTAGTTGATATAAATACACTAATTGTGATCATGGTGATATAAATTAACCATAATTCATTCTTTAACATAAAAATGGTGAATGATTTATACAACATAATAATTTAATATGAGTTCTTTGGAAAGTTTGCCACTTGGCAATCTCTCAGTCATTCTTCTATTTATATTTTAGCTGAAAATGGAAACTTTCTTTTAATATATTACTATTATTTTTATTTTATTTTTTAATTTGTCTATGCTGATTCACGTTCTCCATGTAAAATTGAATAGATATTTTCCAACTATCAATTAAATTTTAAATTTTCACTCTACTCTATGCATATTGAAAATTGGAGTGAAACAATTTGTGGGAAGATACAAAACAATCTCTCCATTCAGATATAAACAAGATTTTACATTTTCTTCTCATACTCAAAAACCTTAAGTCTGAATTTGGGTTGAAGAAACTAAATGAGTACCTTCTCCTGAGTCCCTCAAGGTCAGGTCATTACATGCAAATGTACTCCTTTTATTTCTATTTCAATTTATGTTACTATTAACAAACGAAAACCCTTAACAATGGAAGAGGTAGAGGTTGCTCCGCCGCAAGCCAACAAAGTCCAAATCCAAATCCTCTTCACCGCTCTCTGAAGTGATTTCTATTGAATATACAATTCAGTTACAGATTTACAGTGAATTTTTCGATTGCAAAAATACACAATATCTATAACATTCTCCTCTTTTCAATGCTTAAATCACTAGCGTGCATCATCTATATCATTTATATTAGAAAAATGGTCTGAAAAGTGAGATAGCAGTTATTACTTTTAAAACACTAAGCAGAAGAAAAAGTATAGTATGATATAGACTAATTGAAGCACAAAAACTATTTGAAGGCACTGAAAATAAATATAATTATCCTTTTCTTTGTGTTGTGGCCGAAAATTGGTTTGGTTATTATCAGCATTGAGAACGTTGTTATAAATAAAAAGAAATAGAAATCAGTTATTTATAACTATAATGTGAAAATCATACGATCAAAAATAGTTTAGTTTAAAAGAATATAATATATTTTATTTTAAAATAAGTTTAAAAAATCATCGAATTATTTCACAAAGATGTAATGAATTTTTGTTTTTAATAACCCTCATTTAAAAATATGCTAATAATATTTTTATTAAGTATTATTGTCAACAATTATTATGGAATATATTACTAATATTAAAAATATTTTTTTATAATTTTTTTTATATATATTACTAATATCAAAGATATATTATAATAGATTATAATATTACTGTAACTTTATTTGTAAATTGTAAGTAGTTATAAAATATATTTACATTTTATTTTATTATAAAATATATCAATTGTTACATTTCACTATTATAGTTAAAAATTTAATTATTGTATTCATTGTTTAATTTTATTATATCATAAATTTATTTTAATTTTTAATTTTTAATTATAAATTTAAGTTATTCTTTATTAATAATAATTAAATTTAATTATATTATGATTATATTATAAATAAATAAAAATTTCAAAATAAAATTAAAAAAAGTTTAAAATATTAAACTATTTTGAATATTCATATTCGAAATTTCTTTGAAAATAAAAAATAAATATTTTTTCAGATATACACATCTGAAATAATTTAATATCTTAAATTCACAATATGTATTTTAATGGATATATTTTAAGAGTATTTTCGAATTTTCAATGGTGAAAATCACGCTTACTAAATACAAAGGAAATTTTTGGAGAGATAATGACAATTTAGAAATTATAAAATGAAATGAAGGATATAATCGTCATTCAGAAACAATCACAATAATTTCGCCTGAAGACCAATTCTCCATCCACCACGATGTGTGACCCACCCCAGCAACAATCTTATATATACAATCACTCTTTCTTCACACTCTTCCTCTCCTCTTCTAACCGCCACAACAAACAACAAATTTCCTTCAGTTTCTCACCTCCACGTGTCACTCTTCCATTCGCCTCTTTCATCCATCACCATACACAATACCCTCCTCTAACTCACAATGAACATGCCAAACTTAGGAAGAAAAAGAAAAACTAGTGAAAATTTTCACCATAATAAACCTCCATTCAAAAAATTCACCTTCATCAACATGGTGGACGAATGCATCTCCACCCTCACTTCCGATGAAGAATCATTCCCATGTTCTTGCTCCAGTAACATCATTAACAAATTCGAAGAACATCAAGTGGTAAACATTTTTACACCATCCATCATTTAATGTTCTTTTATTCACCTAAACCTAATCAAAACATAACGTATTTTCAGGTTCAAACTCCTGACCAAGTTGAAACGTCCACGTGTGACAACCAAGTTATAAGGTTTTTTTCAATCATAATTAAATACTCAATTCAGTTTCTTTTTATTTCACTTTGTGTTTTTTTCAAATTTTAAAAAAATAATAATAATAATAATTTTGAATTTGAAATGAATATTGTGTGAGTAAATAAATGTGGATGATATGAATATGAATTATATAACCCCTCACATGCACGTATAACTAATAACCAAAACATTGTTACAGGAGAAGAGAGATGAGTCTGTTAAGCGAAGAAGAAGAGGTGGGTTCCATTGAGAAGAAGCCGCAAAAGACGCCGTCGGAATCTGAACTTGATGAGTTCTTCTCCGCCGCAGAAGAAAATATCCAGAAACAGTTTGAAAACAAGTAAGATCAAAACAGTACTTTTATTTTCATGATTCAAAATACTACATTTATCCTCAATATATTATTGCACAATTAATCCATACATATAATTGAAACCAGTAGTTTAAAAGTAAATATTATTTTTTATTATAATTTAAATTATATTTATGTTAATCAAAAGGTGACACTTTAAGTGGAAAAAAAATTATTAAAAAATATAAGATTATTTAGTATCTAGTGTGTGTTTGTAAAGATATTATATAGTTTTGGGTAATATTTAATTTGCAGGTATAATTTTGATATTGTGAAGGACATGCCTTTGGAAGGACGTTATGAATGGGTTCAGTTGAAGCAGTAAAATTACCACTTTTGGCTATTCTTGAAGGAAGAATGGTGATAAAATAATGACCCCTTTTGGCTATTGTTATTTGTTAGATGCAGTTAAAATTTCCACTTGCTGACACTATTCTTAGGTTCATTTTACTTTAGGTAGTAATTGATTTGAAATGAATTCAGAGAGTCCTATCTATCTTTCATGTTTCAAGTACTCTGTTGGTTGTGTAATATTGTGTACAGCTTTGTTTTTCTTCATGGATGGGTTAGTAATTATTATAAGAATTTTGGTTCTGCTTGGTTTTTTTTACTATCTATGTACCTTAAAGAAACTACTATTCTGTTCCAGAGCATAATTCAGTAAATTCTGTTGCTGGTGATATATGAGTGTAGAACAAATTGGTTTGTGGTTAGCTATAACAAAATTCTAGTCTCATTTTTCTTTTGAGCTGAACTTGACATTCTACCAACCTTGGTGTCTGTCTCTGTTGTTATTAATAATAACAACTTTAAAGTGAGTGATTATTTACTTCTTTATCTTTTTCTTCCCTTTTTTTCTTTTCCCTTTTTCATCTCTTTATCTTTCTTTTCAATGCTTTAATTTTTTTTTAGTGCTCTTGTCTTTTTCCTTATCCTAACGTACAACATGGAAAAACTTTGCCTTTTCTTTTGAGTCTTTCTGTCATTATTTATGTGCATGTGTGTGTATATGTGTGGATTTTAATTTCAAATATGGAATATTATTAATATTATTACACACTATGTATATGGTATATTATTTTATAAGTTAAAAATAAACAAGCATAGTAAAAATGTGGATGTGATGTGATTTATAATTTGTCTAAATATATCAGTCAAGTGAGAACAGAATCTCAATTTTACTATATACTTTTATAAATACAACAAAATTTTAGTTCAGATGAGTGTGTTAAAGTATAATTTATTGATTTCTACAATGTCCCATTTGCTTGGTGTTAATGGGAAAACTCAAATTCTAAAACTGTGTTTTATGGAATCTGCACTATTCACTGGTTGGATGCTGCAGCTCCTGCACAGCAGTATATCTTAGCCAGTTTTGGGAGGTTGGGAAAAGATGCCTAGTTGTGTGTTACTTGTGCTTTTGATTTGATTTGTAATTGACCTTAACTAAGAACAAAAAACAACCCTCTAAAACTCTATTAAAGTGAGATTTTAATACTCTGGTGGTTACTAGTACTACTGCCAGCCATATTGAAAACATTTGCGTCCTTAAAACTCAAAGATTCTGTGTTGGCTGCAGCGGAAATGAGGATCCAAACTTGTGAGTTTTTTATTTGAAGGACAAGAAAGGCAAGTAGCTATAGTACTCTATGTTTAACCATATTGTCCTTTGTTATGAGTTAAAAATATTGTGTATATACTTAGAGCTTCTGCCCAACATGTTTTCCATTTAACCCCGTAACAAATTAAGGCTGATTTGAAGGAAAATGAAATTAGGAAAGAAAATTCCCATGTTACTTATGTATAGAATTAAGTTTGTTATAATATATCAGTGTTTACATTTTATTGTCATAAAAAATTTAAAAATATAATCATTACAATATTATAGTCTTAAAGACATTGATTTATTATTTTATTTATATAATATTTTCATTTGTTCATTTCAAAGATTTTATTATTGTCTTGATGGCAATGATGCAACAATGGTGTTTTCATACGATGTCTCATCTTAAAGACACAAAGTGTAGTACTAAAACTCATTGAGATTGATCAGAGTTTGTTTATGGCATTAGATGAGTCTTTAAAGGTGATTGAGCAACAAATGTGTGAAAGATGCATGTCATGTGTCAGACATGTCATCATCATGATGGTCTAGTTCGTGTTTTTTATGGGCCACGAGAGGTCAGGAGCCACATTATAAGTATTTTAAGACCATCTACAATGAGCTTCAATACCCTCAGTACAAGGGAGAGGATTGTTCTAGATGCAAGGTTATTAGAGAGACTCCTTGTAGAGACTATCTTCACTGTGAAGAGTACACCACTTAATTGTCGTCTTGGTTTCTCTTAAGCATTGAAAGATATTTTGTATAAGGTGGTCGTTGAGCTAGAATCTATAAGTGCTTGGAGTTTGGTTGTTACTTCTTCGTGGTCAAGCCTCAGAATAGAAGGGATCGGAAGTCCTTGTAACAACGTCATATTTTGGGGTGCTTGGCTACTTAGTGAGAGAAATAGTCTTGACAAGTAAATTGATAGTGTGTTGGGAAGCTCTGGCCAAGATGATTAGGATCATGAGGGAATTCATACTGAGGAGGAAGATAAAAAGATGAGTGTTAGCGTCAAACAATGCCTTCACAAGGTTTTAGATGGCCACTTCATGGCGATAATGAAAGTGTTGGGTCATCCATTGTAGCCCCTATAACAAAGATATAATGAATGGTTATGAGCTCCTTTCACGTTGACCACCTTGTTTGCTGAAGCTCTCTTGTTGGTTGCAGTTAACATTATCCTTAGGTGCATTAAATTGTTCCCCAAAGGGAAATCATGTGCTAAAGATGATTTGCGAGCTCCACGCATATCAGATGTTATGTGTGGAGAAGGTTCAACTATGGCAAGAGATATTTTATATGCAGTCATCATAGTTGTTAGCTTATGGATAAAAGAAAGATGTTCAATGAGTTTCAAATAGTTTGTAGCTTCCACACCCTTGACGTTGTTATTGAAGCGTGACAATGGGATACACTTAATTGATGAAGGTTATATTTGGAGGCACCTAGTATCCAAGGTTTCTATGAAAAGAGTCAGTAAAGATGTGACACAATATCTCAATGACATCCAATTTGGGGGTCGAGGTATTAGGTGGTGTTGAGGCTATTTTCCCAGGGCTAATAGGGTATTGAGCAAGCGACGTGAAGATGGTTCTTTGGAAATACTCACAATAGACTTCTTGAATGCCTTCAACATGGTAGAGTAATTAGCCTTACTGAACAAAGTGAGGATGCTGTATCAATTTATTTCTTTTTGGGTTGATTTTCTTTACTTTCAGGCAACAAGGTTGTACCTAGGAGATGGACATATTATGTCAGCCACTAGAGGACAAGAAGGCGACCTATGAGTGTCAGTCTCTTTTTCTCTTATGTTACACCTTTTCATAAGATTACAGACAAATACAAGCTTTTTCATGTCTAGTATCTTAATTATGGGACCATCATAGGGGATTCAGACGAGGTGGCTAAAGCTCTTGGTATATTCGGGAGACAGGTATAAGATTAGGCCTTGAAATGAATATTCATAAGACGAAGATCTTTTGGCCTTCATGTGATGACAGTAAAACTTGTCAGAGGTTATTCCCTCCAGACATTGGGAGGACAGTGTTAAATATGAAATGGCTTATAAGGGTTACTAGTCGAGATAGATGTTTTATTGAGAGGTTTTTCATGAAGAAAGTTGTTAGAGTTGTTGAGTTAAAGCATCTTCTCTCACAACTAAATGAAGTGAGTTTGTTCTACTTCGATCCTGCATGGGAATCCCCAAAGGTATTTTTGGCCTAATAAATTGTTGGTTGATTCACATGTAGGAAGCAAAAGTTTTGTACCTCAAGGAACAGATGTCGAACTCGATGTTGAAACAATTGGCCTAACAAGTTACACCAGTAAGACAACAACACTTGCATAATACGATGGATCAGAAAAGCAGTAAATAACACAAGCAATTGGTAACTCGGTTCGATGCAACATGCACCTACATCTGTCTGGAGGGTTGACTTTCAACCCAAGACAGGAAATTCATTATTAGTAGCTTAGTACAATCGATCTTACAAACAAAAAAACCCCGTATGTTGTGCTATGCATTTTTCTAAATCTACCCAATGACTTTCTATTTATGTTTCCTTCTAAATATGAGAACCTCTCTCACTTTCTCTCAAACACTATCCCAAGTGTTTAAACTTTCAATCACTAAACCCCAGTGATCAAACTGAATCACAACTGTGAGTGATATTGAATCTTACAACTCAACTAGACAAACCTATTATGTCAATTGTTGTATCCCAAAATTTGTTCTCTCATTTCTCAAGAATTTTCTCACAAGATCTCTATTGATTAAAGACTGCACAAGGTTTGATTAGCTCAAGATAGTTTCCATGGATCATATTGGACTCTCAAGCATCAGGTCGAAGATGGAACTTCTGAATCCTCGAAAGGATGAAGGGGAAACTGTCGAAAGGGAAAATCAGATAAAAAAGGGTGTGCAGTTGCAGATGACCATGTCAAATTCAAAATCTAGTTCAGGTTGTTCGAACCGCATGACTGATCGAAAGGAGTGGTTGGCAGATTTTGACAAGTCTAAGAAGAGCAAGCTTGCTTCGATCCCCAAGCTTCGACTGGGCATTGTCTTCCTTCGAGCAACCTGCTTCGATCCACCTCTAACCCCTTCGACAAACATAGTTTTGACACTATGAATTACAATTTAACACACCATTTAATTCATTGTGTCTAAACAATCTATATTCATCATGGTTCTTAGTCTTCTGAATACTTCAACCTGCACTCTCTTCGTCATGATGTCTGCAATCTGATTCTCAGTTCTGTAGTGTTTCAAATTCATCTTCCCATCTGCTACCTGCTCTCGGAGATAATGGAACCTCATTTCAATGTGCTTGCTTCGACTATGTACTATTGGGTTCTTCACTAGATTGATAGATGACATGTTGTTTATCTTCATGCTTGCTTCGATCCACAAGCTTCGACTGCACAATGACTTCCTTCGAGCAACCTGCTTCGATCCACCTCTAAATTCTTCGACACACATAGTTTCAACACTATGAATTACAATTTAACAAAAAAAATTTGCTGATAATAGTTCATTGCAAGAAGAAGGTACTGGCGACATAGTCTTTCAAATGAGTAATGGAGGAAAAATTATGATTAAAGATGTGCTCTATGTACCTGGAATAAAGTGAAACTTGCTAAGTGTTGGACAACTAGTCGAAAAGAGTTTCTCAGTTGTCATGAAAGATGGAGTTTTGAGATTGTTCGGCACCAAGAAC